GAGGAGGGGAGGGGGGGGCGGTGGGGGATCTGGGGGGGTGGGGAAGAATTCTAGGAGGTTCGGGTATTGCATATCTGACAGCGCCTGCATTCCTGGGACTGTAGGAAAAGCAATCGTCTTGTTGTTCTGCTTGCCTCAGTTTACCCCTTGTCCTTAAATGGTTTGGGCAGGGAATTGTCAGGGATTGGATTTTGTAATCTCGTTCCTTTCGACCTCCCTGTCCTACGGACCCTCATCAGGAATTCGAGTTTTTGCTTCTCCCAGGCCTACGCAAGAACTCGGAATCAGTTTAAGCGCTAATTTTGCCCGTCCGCTCTTGTCAGATTCCGCAATCAATAACAGAAACAGAAGATCAACAAGGGGGAAAGCGCCCTCCCCAACACTTCATCCCGCCCGCGCGCCTCCTTTTCTCGGTGACATTCAAAAAGAGAAACGCAAGGTCAACGCGCGGCGCGGCAGCAAAGTCAAATCCCTATTGGTCAGAGACGCCTGAGCTGCGCCCGGCCGCTCCACGTAGGCGGGGCTTCCCGGTTGACCCGCTGCGGCCCCCCACCCCGCAGCCCGCAGCCCGCAGCCCGCCAGGCGTTCTTAAAGGGGCCTCGCCCCCATCCAGACTCTCAGAGGGCTGCTCTAGGCAGATCCGCCTGGGAAGGGAGTCCGAGGCTGGAGTCTCCGACTCCGCTGAGGATAAAGATCGGGAGGTGGCCGGGCTCTGGAGGCGGGGCCTCAGCTGGGGACAGTGGTTGCACCTGCTGAAGTCCCTCCCACAAGTTTCGGGTGCAATTTCTCGTCTCACCGTCAGGGGGAGGGGCGCCCGCTAAACCGCGAGTAATAAATGTTAGCGTTGAGTGCGCTGCGCATGCCAGCCTTCCACTCTCTCTGCCCTGCACCGTTCCTGACTAAACCCTGTGAGGTAGGCAGGTGGCACTAGTTTTTCCCACGCTGCAGACGAGGAAGCAAGAGGTTAAAATTCCCAGCCGGGATTCCCACTTAGGGCCAGAGCAAGCCTCCTTTATTTATTCTCAGGGTTTTTTGTTTGTTTTGTTTTTGTTTTTATTTTCCAGACACGGTCTCGCTTTGGAGCCCTGGAAGTCACTATGTCGCCTTGCTACGCACTGGAGGAGCACTCTAGCCAGTGGACCCCAGTTTCAGTCCTGTCTATGACCATTTGCTGTTGTTGTTTTGAGCCAAGGTCTATTTGGTCTCGAGCGTGCAGCAGTTCTCCTGCTTCGGATTCCAAATTGCTGGGATGTAATCGTATCCGGTTCATGACTACCTTTTACCCAAAGATACAACCAGAGGTTATGTGGTTCCCGCCCAGGCTGTGCCCATACATGTGTGGTGAGCAGGTGAGAGTCCCACACAACCCCCACCTCTACCAGATGCTTCCACGCACGGGTGTTTCTTTGTACATGTCATGGGGACATAGGTTACTTTGTCCGCCACTTCCCTGACAGGTGGACCTCATACACAATAAGCCAGTTTGTGGAGCCCCCTCTTCAGAGGTCCTTCAGTGTGGATGTAAGGCCTTCGAGAGCGAAGTTCTGCACAGGTGCTCTTTGTCCAGGTGTCATTTTACCGCATAAGCAGGTGTTTATACATTATACATACATTATGCATACAGGCCCCCATGTATCTTTCTATAGAACTGGTCCCATACAGGTTGGTTGGTTGATTGATTCTGGGGCTAAAGATCAACCCAGGGTCTCATGCATGCTAGGGAGGAATTCATGACTGAGTCAGGTGCGATCCAGCCACGTCACTATGGCTTTCTAGGTAGGGACTCTATCCCTGAGCCACGTCCTCTGATCTTCTTTAGGTGACTCCAGGCATGAGTTCTGGCCCTGAGCCACGGCCCAGCCCTCTTTTACTTTTTTATTTTGAAGTAGGGTTTCACAGATTTGCTCAGGCTGGCCTTGAACTCGGGATCCTACTGCCTTCGTCTCCGAAATACCTAGGATACAGGTTAGCATCACCAGGCCTGACTTCAGATGAGCCCGCCCCTTACAGGTGTGTATCTTTCTGGGGTGTCGCCACTCCCTCTGCGTCTGCACACCAGCGCTACCGAGGAACCCTGCGTGCGGTCCTTACACCTGCTCGCTTCCGCCTTTCGCGATGCGCCCTGTCGCAATGGGGTTCCCGTTACAGGTGCTCCGGCGGCTCGGCCCCGCCCCTCGGCCCCGCCCCTCTCAGCCGGGCTCAGGTGCACAAGCCGGAAGTGCGCTCCCTGCCTAGGTGGGTGACTAAACTTTCCGGGTCACGTGAGCGGGCGGGGCGGGTGGGATCCGGAGCGACGGGGTGAAGGACAGAGACTCGGGGTTCCAGCCGGGGACCTGGGATTGGGAACCTGCGCCAAGTCCCTCTCAGACGCCTGGGCCAGGTAGGGAGACAGGGCGCACAGCCTGTCCTGTCCCTACCTCCTGCTTCCCTTTCCCCAGCTCAGGAACGCCGCCCGAGAGTTAATCTTTAATCTCTGACCCTTGGCGCCGAGGGCGGGGAGCGCACTCCAAGCTTGGTCGCCTGTCGCTGGGGCCTGAGCCCAGCTGGGTCCAGCCCTCAACTCCACGCTGCGGCCTCTCCTTTGGTCTGGTCCTCAGGTCCCGGGTCGCAGGTGCCGTCTTCGACCCCAAGATGCGGTAGGAATTGAAGCCCGGGGAAGTCCTGCCCTTGGCGCCACCAATCGTCGCCCAAGCTCATGGCGACCCCAGGCCTGCGGCAGCTGCTCTTGGCATTTGGTCTGCCGATGCTGCCCGCCGGCTGGAGCCAAACAAGTAGGTACCGTCCCCGGCTGCGCTGGGGTGAGAGTAGGGTTCCCGGGTAGAGCTCATAAGGATCTGGCATTTGCGAACCAGAGAGGGTAAAAGATCTGAGGAATGGGCTTGGAATGTGTTTGGGACCCAGTTCAAAAGCGTCAGGGCTGAACTACAAGTTAGTTTAGTCCACCTCCGAACTTTTCTTTTCCTTCTCTCTCTTTCTTTCTTTCTTTCTTTCGTTGCTGGGGCTCGAACCCAGGTTCTCGTGTATGCTAGGCAAGCGCTCTACCATCAAGCAGACCTCGCACACGCAGCCCAGGATTCCTGAGTCCTTAAGTCTTGTGGAATTTGGGAGCTGGGGTTTGTTGGGCAGAGCCCAGAGGTGGAGGAGGGGAGCAGAGCCAGGGCACCTGAGTCTGCATAGCTGAGAGTCTTAAGCAGCCGGGGGACCTGGAGGAGGCCAGAAGGCCCAGCTGACAGGGCTGGCCCTTGTAGGTGTGGACTCAGCCAGACCTTCCCTCTGTCTCTCTGGTTCCAGTTTCGGGAGCCTGGGGGTGGGGGGGCCTTGTGAGTCACACACTCCAGGGAAAGGTTGAGCCCCGCCCAAGTCCTTAAGAGCCCTGGGCCAGAGTGATAGTCGTGGTGGTGGGGGCACTATTCTGGAAGCCCTCTATTTTAATGGTCTGGCTTACAGTGGTGACCTTGGCCAGATTATTCCCTGCTGGGCTGATGGTGGCCAGAGGAACCAATACCACACCTGAGGGTGGAGTGGGTGGCTTGGCTGCTGTACCTGCAGTCTCTATTCCAACTGGAAACTTGGAAGGAGTTATACAAGACCTGGCTGAGTGGTGTGTGTGTGTGTGTGTGTGTGTGTGTGTGTGTGTGTGATGCCTAGTGAAGAGCCTGGCATGGATATTTTTTTCTCTTTCTATTCCACAGCACCGGACTTTTTCACAAGTAATGTGACTCTACCCCCAGACTCTGGTTCCAATGGGGGCCTGGTGAGTTGGGAGGGTACAAGCAGAAAGAGCAGGTGTGTGAGAGACTTGAACACTGTAAAGTAGAGAGACATTATTATTATTAAGGCTTAAACATTCTGGGCATTACTACAGCCAGCTTACACCCAGCCCCAGCCCTGGATTTCCCCCCCCTCCCACCTTTTTAAATGGGGTCTGGTTTAGCTCAAACTGGCCTCCAACTTCCTCTGTAGCCAGATGAGCCTGAATTCCTTACTCTACTGCTTTCACCTCATTGCTGAGTTGACGAGTGCACCCTCATGCTGGGTCTATGGGGTGCTGGGAGTCAAACCCAGGCTCTTAAACATGCCAGGCAAGCACTCTACCCATGAAGCCACAGCAATGGAACCACTTAGAATCTCAAACAGAGTGCTGGGTGGTGATGGCACACGCCTTTAATCTCAGCTCTCAGGAGGCAGATACAGGTGGATCTCTCTGAGATCCAAGGCTAGTCTGGTCTACAGAGCAAATTCCAGAGCTGTTACACAGAAAAACTCTGTCTTTAGAAATAAACAAACAAAAAGAATCCCAGGGTGTACAAGAATATTGTGTCTTGCTGGATGTGGTGACCCACACACTCTGGAGAGAGGGACGGGTGGAGCTCTGAGTTGAAGGCCAGCCTGGTCTACATAGTGAATTCGAGGCTAGCGGGGGCTACAGTGAGTTCCTGTCTTTACAAAGAATACTGTGTCTTGCCTGGTGGGAATGGTGATACACACTTGTCACCCCAGGACTTATGAGGCTGAGGCAGGATTGCCACAATTCAAGGCCAGCCTGGGGTATAGATGAGATCATATCCAGAGACCATAAAAAGGCTGGGTGTGGTGACACAAGCCTGTTGCCCCAGTGCTGGCATTGTGGAGGAAGAGGCCGGAAACTCAGTTATTATCTATATAGTAAATTCAAGGCCAGCCTGGGGTACCTGAGGCTCTGAACAAACAAACAAACAAACAAACAAACAAACAAACAAACAGAGAACACCAAAGAAAAGGAAAAGAAGGGAGGACAAGAGAATTGTATCTGACCAGAGGCCCAAGCACTTGTATGTAGGCTGGAGTGGGTAGGTGTGAAGAGGACAGGGACAGAGGTACCAGTGTGAGAGGTCCTGGGGAGGTATTTCTAGGTATGAGGACCCCGGAAAGCAGACAGGACCCTGCCAGGTGACTTAGGAGGGGTGAGAGTAGGGCTCACATGCAGCTGATCACACTGTCCCCTCTTCTGCCCTCTGCAGTCTTCAGAGGCCGTTGTAGCCATAATTGTGGTCTTTTCCATCCTGGGAGTCATCCTCCTAGCAGTGTTGCTATTCCTGCTGGTTCGGAAACTTCGAGAAAAGCGCCAGACAGAGGGCACCTACCGGCCGAGCAGCGAGGAGCAGGTGGGTGCCCGAGCTCCACCACCCCCCAACCTCAAGCTGCCCCCGGAGGAGCGGCTCATCTGAACGCTGGGGTGTCAGCCATAGGCCGCGGCTACCACCACTCAGGACTGCCTTGGCGTACCCTGGCCCACAGCAGCCATCTCGGAGTCACGCCAGCCTCTGATGGCTCAGGAGGACTTGGGATGGGGAACCCTGGGGGCACCCGGCTGGTGGGCTATGCAGCATGCTGCCTCTGCTTGGCTCTGCATGAAGCTATGGGTGCCAGGGCCGGGGGGCCTCACCTTCTTACCATTTACCTCATATGATCTTGCCTCTGCTGTGTCTCCTACCGTGACTACAGGCCCAACAAACCTCCTGTCCTTTCTTTCAGTTTTCCCACGCAGCAGCTGAGGCCCGGGCCCCCCAGGACTCCAAGGAGCCAGTGCGGGGCTGCCTGCCCATCTAGCTCCTCCCCCTACTTCCCTGTCACCCATCTTCCCTACCTTGCTCTGTGACCTTGGGGGAAGGCAGCACCCTCTCTGGGCAATCAGACTCACCCAATGCTTAAGAATAGAAAGGAAGAAAGTTCTTCAAAGACCTTGACTTTGAGGGCAAGGGAAGATGGGGGATGCTCACTTTTTATATATTTATATGAAATTGATAGTAAGGTATAATAAAGTTTTTTTTTTTTCTTAGATTGTGGAAACATCAGCTTAGATGAATTTGTTTTGAATTGTAGGCTTTTTGGGAGTCCTAACAGGCTGGAAATGGGTGGGTGGGGGAAGGACCTTCAGATGAACCTTAAAGATGATTAGAGTTTGCTTCTGGTGGTGGGTGAAGCAGGTGTCTGAGCTGACAGAAGGCCCCAGATAAACTTATGAAGAAAAAAAAATCAGCTTTATTGAGAGATGGGGTCCCCTCCACATCCTTGCTCTTAGTTTTCAAAACACTTTTTGAGATCAGCAACTCGAGGCTGTCTGGCTGGGGCCCTTTGCCGGCTGCTTACTCCCAGCTCCTTGGGTTGGACTTGAGCCTGACCCTGCAGGACCTGGGGAGGCTGATTTCTGCGGTTCTCTGAAGAATTGGAGTGTGAGGGAGATCGAATGGATTGTAATGTCCCCACAGTGCCAGAGTTGAGCTCTGTGGGGGCAGGAAGTTGGGGGCTCTCTGGGGGGCTGGGCTGAGTGGGCACCGAGAGGAGCCTGGAGCAAGGGCCTTGTGGGATTCTAAGATTCAGCTCGGTGGGAGCAGAGGGCTCGGGGTCCCCTTGGCTGCTGGGGTCTGCCGAAGTGGTTGAAGATGCCGGCGAAGAGATGTCTGAGAGAGGCTGAGAACAGTCCTTGGAGTAGCATGCAACCTCTAAAGATGGGGTGTCTTGCAGAGATGGCAGGTCCCCGGGCAGGGACCAGGGCTGTGGTTCCAGGGATCGTTCATCCTCTTCTAGTTGCCATGGTGACCTCGCTGGGATGTCAGGCTGGGGGGGGGGCACGACACACAAGACAAGGGTGTGGTTGAGGTCAGGTTGGGGAAGGGATTGACAGGTTGGGAGGCCGCAGTAAGGGTCCTACCAGGCTGAAGCAGCTCTCCGACGTCCCCTGCTGACAGCAGTCCAAGCTTCTACCACCACTCTTAGTTTCCATGCTCAGACTGTCCAGGATCTCGCTCAACAGATCCAGTTCTTCTCCAGACCCCAGAAAGCTGCCGTCTAGAGTTTCCTCTGCCCAGGGACTCTGGGTGTCCTCCTCGGGGCTCAAGGCAGGGCTCCTGGATTGAGGATGGACATCCTGGGCTTCGTTGGGCTGCTCCAGGGTCTGCAGGCATCCTTCCTCATCAATCATGACCCTTGCACCTCCATCTTTGATCTGCTTCAATTCTTACCTCTCCCCAAGGGGTTCGGAAGGTCCTCCTTCCCTCTTGAGTCTCCTGCTAGGGCGAAGGGGCCTGTTCTGAGGAAGATAAAGGAGGAAGAATGGGGAGAGGCCGAGGAGCTGCAGAACCCGGGCCGGGGCTTTCCAGCTTGAATTGGAAAGACAGAGCTAGGCATGTTGCTGCCAGTCTGTCCCCTCATCACTCTGCAGCCTGAGGCAGGAGGATCATTGCAAGTTTGAGCCCTGGCTGGCTACATAGTGACACTCCTCTAAAAACAAAACAAGGGCTTGGGTGAGTCTCTGAGTTTGAGTTGAGTTTGGTCTAAAAACAAACAAACAAAAAACCCCAAATCCCCCAAACCAAAGGAGCTGAGAGAATGGAACTCAGTTGGTAGAGGGCTTGCCTAACATGCACAGGGCCCTGGGTTTGATCTCTAGCACCATTTAAACAGTGTGATGGACCAGGAGTTCAAAGTCATACTTGGCTGTATAATGAGTTTGAGGATAGCCTGAGCTATACTGGGGCCTCAACAAAGGGAAATAGTTTACTGAACACTGGGAATGAGTGGGGGGTTTGGGGAGATTCCATAGTGTATATGTGTTAGCGTGTGTGTTGTGTGCATGTCTGAATGCATGCTGGCCTGTGGTGTGTGTGTGGGGGAGAGGGAGGGTATCCTCATTCTGTGCGGGAGTGTGGCGGTAGAAGGTGGGTATTCTCACCTGCCCAAAGTGTTGGCTGATAGGCAGGCGCTGTTGCAGGCGATCTGAGCGGCTGGTGAGGCTTGGGGTTCTCAGGGAGCCCCCTCTCTGTAGGCCAGAGGCTCCATCCTGTGGAAGGATGCACATGTGGGCTGGGGTATCATCCCCACTCCTCTGAGTTACCTGTGGGTGGGGAACTCACCTTGGGTCATCTTACCTTAGTCATAAGCAGGCTCTGCACACCCTTCAAGCCGCTCTTCGCCTAGGATGATGACCCAGCACTGTTAGATCTGACACAGGGACACAGCCAGGATGGCTGTTTTCTGCCACCCATCCCATCTCTGTATCTTCCAAGCTATGTTTGTACCTTTGACTAATGCACAATATTCCTAGAGGGAGTCACCTGCCATAAACCAAAGGTTTGACCATCATGTGTCAGGGTTAAAATCAACCAAAAAAGAAAAAAAAAATCAAATGAATGGGTCTGAACTGTAAAAGCCAGTCTGAGGGAAATTTTGAGCTCCAGATATATCCCTTCCCTCCACCCCCCCAAAAAAAATCAAGAATGAAAGCTAACTAACAAAGGTAGTCAAATGATCGTGGCTATCAGTGTCTGTGTTTTTACTTTTATTTATGTATTTTATTTGGGAGGAAGGGAACATGAGTCAGGGCACAAGTATGGAGGGCAGAGTACAACTTGGGGTTGTCAGTTCTCTGTTATATGGATTCTAGGGATCAAATGGAGGTTGTCAAATTTGACGGCAAGAGCCATCTTGCCAGCCCTAAATTTTATTATAAGAAAATTTCTATTTATTTATTTATTTATTTTAGTTTTTGGAGACAGGGTTTCTCTGTATTGTTTTGGAGGCTGTCCTGGAACTCACTATGTAGACCAGGCTGGCCTCAAATTCACAGAGATCTGCCTGCCTCTGACTCCCGAGTGCTGGGATCAAAGGTGTGCACCACCAACGCCCGGCTTATTTATTTATTTTGAGACAGGGTTTCTCTGTGTACCCCTGACTGTCCTGGAACTCACTTTGTAGATTAGGTTAGGTTGGCCTCAAACTCAGAGATCTGCCTGTCTCTGTCTCCCAGATGCTGGAATTAAAGGCGCATGCTGCCACCATCTGCCTTTTTTTTTTTTTTTTTTTTTGAGACAGAGTTTCTGTGGCTTTGGAGGCTGTCCTGGAACTAGCTCTTGTAGATCAGGCTGGTCTCGAACTCACAGAGATTCACCTGCCTCTGCCTCCCGAGTGCTGGGATTAAAGGTGCACGCCACCAACGCCTGGTTCCACCTGCCTGTTTTTGAGACAGATTCTTACTAAATGGTCCTGGCTGCCCTGGAACTTGCTATGTAGACCAGGCTAGCCTCCAACTTTTAGAGATCTACCTGCTTCTGCCCCCAAGTCCTGGGACTAAAGGCATGCACTACCATGCCCAGCTTTCTTCTTTTTGTTTGTCTTTCTCATGTAGCTCTGGCTTGTCTTCACACTCTCTATGTAACCAAGGGTGATCTTGACCTTTGAACCCATCTGTCTCTACCACCCTAGTGCTTGGATGACAGGCGTGTACCACTGTGCCTAGTTCCTATGGTGCTAGTGATGGAACCCAAAGAGCTGTCCTCAGACTCAGGGTTTGTTTTTGAGGAAGGAATCTTGTGTCTTGGGCTAGCCTTAACCTTTCTCTCTATGTTATCAAGGTTGGCCTTGACTCCTGATCCTCCTGTCTTTACCTCCCACTGGTGGGAGCTGTGTGCTACCTATGGCCTGGTCTGGCTGCCCAATTCAAGTGGGCAAGAAGAAATTCTAGCAATCATGAACATGGCAGGCCTTGAGTGGTGGCCACACCTTTAATCCCAGAACTCTGGAGGCAGACTCAGTCAAATCTCTGTGAGCTATTAGTCAGCCTCGTCTACACATTGAATTCCAGGCCAGCCAGGACTACCAAGTGAGACTATGCCTTAAAAACCAACCAACAAACAAAAAACCCCATCCCAACCTTAAGACAGTGGGACTGGAGAGATGGCTCATTACCTGAGAACACTTGCTGTTCTTATAGAAAACTCAGGTTCAAGTCTAAGCACCCACATCAGGTGGCTCACAACTGCCTGAAACAGTTGGATCTCCAGGGCATCCAATACCTTCTTCAGGCTTCCACAGGTACTGCACACACAGTGTATGTACAAGCAGGCCAATAGGCACACCCACCAACACAACACAACACATACACACACACACACACACACACACACACACACACACACACACACTAAAAAGAAAAAAATGGCAAATGAAAACCAAGCATAAGAAAATTTGTTAATTCTTTTAAGTGCTTTTTGTTTTCTTTGGTTTTGGTTTTTTTGAGACAGGATTTCTCTGTGTAGCCCTGGAACTAGATCTGTAGACCAGGATGTCCTTGAACTCACAGAGATCCACCTGCCTCTACCTCCCCAGTGCACCACCTCCTGGCTTAAGTGCATATTTAATGCCTGTTTTGATCAAAGTGTCCAGTCGTCAGAACATCTCTGTCGGGCTGGAGAGCAGCCTCAGTCAGTTAAATTCTTTTCTTCCACAGAAAAAGCTGGGTGTGGTGGTGCGTGCCTGTAATGCTAGGACTGGGGAGAGAGAAGGGAAGGTCGCTGGAGCACTGGCCAGCCAGGCTAAGCTAGTCAGCTCTGGGTTCCTGTTTCAGCAAACAAGGGAAGGATGTTGAAATGAGCAGTGGTGAGGTGGTTTTGCTAAGCCTGACAACTTGAGTTTGATTCCCATGTTTGGGACCCACACGGTGGAAGGATACAACCAACTGTTTTGTTTTGTTTTGGTTTTTTGAGTCAGAGTTTCTCTGTGTAGCCCAGGCTGTCCTGGAACTCACTCCGTAGACCAGGCTGGCCTTGAACCTCTTCACAGAGATCAGCCTGCTTCTGCCTGCCCAGTGCTGGGATTAAAGGTGTGTACCATCCCTGCTGGGTTAACACCACCAACTTCTGCAAGTTGTCCTCTGACCTCCAGACATGCATCATGGCACAAACAAATAACCCAAATAAATGTACTCCCCCCAACCCCCCACAAGTTACTGGGTGTGGTGGGGCATACCAAATTCCAGTATTCAGGAGGCAGAGGCAGGAGGATCGCTGTAAGTTCAAAGCCAGCCAGGGCCACATAGTGAGACCTTCTCTCAAAAACAAACCCCACAGTGGATAGTACACGAGAATGCTGACCTCTGGCTTCTATTTACACAGGCACACATGTGCACACATACACATACAACACAGAGACTCCATCTGTCCTTTCCCGGTGGCCACCCCAGCCAACATAAGCCAGCCCAGTCTCACCGATCGGTACATGTTTCTGACAGCTGGTCGGGTTTTGGCTTTCATTGAATGCAGGAGGGCATCGCCACCTTTCTGTAGGTGGGAGAGAAAACACCAAAGGGGAGAAACTCGGGCCCCTGAGGTCACCAGGGCTGGACCCCACAGTCTACTTCCCACCTCAGATTGTCTTCTGCTGGGCAGACCCCGCCCCCCTGTGCCTCCACCCGGGAGCTTAACCAAGCCCCTGGGGGGGGGGCTGTGGGTGAGAGATGAGGTGATGAAGTTGTGAAAAAGGAACAGGGATCGCTTTTACTACCTTAAGACCATCAACCCAGAGCTGGTAGGATCGAAGGGCGCCTGGAGAAAGGCAGAAAGTTGTGATGACTAAGGCTTGCCTAAGCTTGGGGAACTGATGGGGTGAGAGGCCTGGGGCTCACCTGAGGAAGCCCCACAGCAGGCAACGATCTCTTGCTCGAACTGATCTGAGAAACCTTCCCCAGCATTGAGTTTCTCCAGTCGGGTTTCTATGAACTTGGGATGGAGTGACAGAGGTTCAGATGCAAGCACCAGAAAGCATCTGTTGCTCCCTCAAGATGTAGGAGGCAGCCAGCCCTGCCAGGTCCCTTCCAAGGCACCAGGCATTAGGAATCCTACGAACTAGGCGTCCAACCTCGCCGCTGAAGTTCTGTCCTGAAGATCTGTCCTCAAGTCCATTCTCGCCCTGTCCCCTAGGCTCCGCCTCTCCCTGCAATCCATCCTTATTCCTCACCTTAGGCGTGTCTCTCAGGGACCCGCAGCCCATCCTTAGCTTCATCTTAGGCCCAGTCTCCAGGGACCACCTGCCTGTCCTCACCGGCCCCCTAGGCCCCGCCCCTAAGGATCAGCAGCCCACCCTCTCCCCCTAAGCCCCGCCTTCAGGGAGAAGCTGCCCATCCTTGCCCCTCCCCCTAAGCCCCGCCTTCAGGGAGAAGCTGCCCATCCTTAGCCTCATCTTAGGCCCCGCCTCCAGGGACCACCTGCCTGTCCTCACCGGCCCCCTAGGCCCCGCCCCTAAGGGTCAGCAGCCCACCCTCTCCCCCTAAGCCCCGCCTTCAGGGAGAAGCTGCCCATCCTTGCCCCTCTCTTAGGCCCCGCCTCCAGGGACCACCTGCCTGTCCTCACCGGCCCCCTAGGCCCCGCCCCTAAGGGTCAGCAGCCCACCCTCTCCCCCTAAGCCCCGCCTTCAGGGAGAAGCTGCCCATCCTTGCCCCTCTGGGCCCCGCCTTCAGGGACGCGCAGCCGGTCCCTGGTCTAGCGCTTACCTGCTTGAACAGCTGCAGGTGCACCGCCCTCTTGTGGAAGGTCTGTAGCGGCGACCCCGGCTTCTGAGCCAAGAAAGCTTCCTCACTGAAGGTCACCGGCTGACCCTGGGAGAAAGATTCCTTCCAGAGCTCCCTGTGGTTCTTCCGTCTCTCACCATAACCTCATAACATACCTAACAAGCACTGACTGGGCGCCTACTGTGTACCTGGCCCCATGCAGGAGCCTCATGAGACCCTTCATCCTCATCTGTAATGTGGCTATCAGCATTAAATAATGCGTAGGTGGGAGGCTGAGGCAAGGGGATTGCTGCTGGGTTGCAAATTGAGCTCCAGGACAGCCTGGGCTACAAGAGACCCTGTCTCAAGAAAAAAAAAAAAATCAGGAGGTTCAGGGGTTCAAGGTCATCCTGGGCTACACATTGAGTTTATGTGTATGTATTAAGTCCAGTCTATGCTACCTGAGATGGTAAACCACTAGGTGTTCTTAAGGTTGTGACTTTCCCAGGGTCCCTCAAGAGGCCTGTCCCATGGCATCTCCCCTCTCCACTAGCTCACCGGGATGCAGACAATCGCGTCACGGTACCCTCCAAAGAGCAGGGCCTGGGCCTTGAGGAAGAGACGGGACACTCCTTCCCCAGGACTCAGCGCCACCTTCCGTAGCCGAAGCCTCAACAGGGATACCTGGTAACACAGGAGAAACCCTGAGATCGGCAGAGATGGAGGCTCCACCTTGAGGAGCAGGGGGTGGGAGGCTGTGGCACTGACTATGTCTGGGGGCAGCGCTTGCACGTCGTCAAAGGGCGTCTCCAGTGTGTTAGAGTCGGCGTTCAACACCACAACATCTTCCAGTGCTTTCTCTCGAACTCTCTGCAGGAGACAAACGCAGGCTGCCAATCGGAGCCCCACATAGAGCAGGGGCTCTGCGGAACTGGAGGGAGAGGAGGGAATCCCTCCCCAGCCCCATGGGTGCTGGGAGTGTTCACCTCAGCTAGACTGGCGTGGACTCCGATGAGGTAGGGCATGGGCGCGCTGTGGAGAGGACGAGAGAGGGAGGTGCATGCCTTAAACCCCTAAGCCTTTCACCTATGCTTGCCTTATGTAGCCCAGGCTAACCTGGAACTCTTTATTTTCTTCTGTTAGCTTTTTGTGATAGGATCTCACTGTAGACCAGGCTGGCCTGGAACACAAAGAGATCCTCTAACCTCTGTCTCCCAAGTGGTAAGATGAAAGGTTAGCAACGCTCCAGGCTCTCCCTCCGCCTACCCTTCCTCTTCCCTCACCAATCTCACCAGCAGTAGTCCAGGAGGTGCGGGGGCAGCGTGGGGATCAAGACGTGTTCCCAGCGCATGGGGTAGAGCAAAGCACAGGAGGCATGAACGCAGGCTGTCAGCTGGGGTGAGAAGGAAGGAGATGGTGGAATCAGGTCTTAGACCTGGATCACTGAAATGGGCGCTTAGGCCTCCCTGATCTGGCCTGTCGCCTCCATCCATTACTGCGGAGTTGGCTGGAACTCACACCCCCTTATGAAGGAAGTGGAGACCAAGATTTTGGCCAGTTATAGCTCCATGTGCTCAGATAAAAAACAACTTGAGTTTCATGTGGTGGTTTTGTAATCCCGACACTTAGGAGGTAGAGACAGCTGTAAGTCTGAGAGCAGGCTCAGCTACGGAGCAAGTTCCAGGTCAGTGTGACTGGAATGGGACTGTCTCAAAAACAAAATAAAACAAACAAACAAACAACCCCCCAACAAAACAGGGTAGGCACGATGGCTCAGAGAATAAAGAATCCCGTGTCCAAGTCTGATGACTTTAGTTTAATTCCCAGGGCCCCATATGGTGTAAGGAAAGAACCAGCTCCTACAGGTTGTCTTTTGACCTCCACACTCAGGCTGTGGAACACAGGTCCCTCACAAGCAAAATCGGTAAGATGTAATTATTTCACAAAGCCAACAATAAAACAAACAAGTCCTCAAAAGCAAACCCAGAATTGAAGATATGGCCCGGTAACCAGAATTTACACAGCTTCTGCAAAGCTCTGAGTCTCAACTGCAGAGCCATAAAAACAAAAACAAAAACAAAAACAAAACCATAAAAACCATAAACCCCAAAACCAGCTAGGCTGTAGTGGTACACGCCTTTAATCCCAGCACTCGGGAGGCAGAGGCAGGCGGATCTCTGTGAGTTTGAGACCAGCCTGTCTACAGAGAGCCTTCCAGGACAGCCAGAGCTACACAGTGAGACCCTGTCTTAAAAACACAAGCAAAATAAAAAACACACAGAAACACACTCGAGGGGCAGGAGAGGCGGCTCAGTGCAGGTTAAAGCACTGGCTACTCCACACAGGAACCATTTTTCCACAACCACGAGGTTGTTCACAATTGCCTCTAACTCCAGCTCCAGGGAGTCTCCTTCCGGCCTCTTCCAGCACCCCACAAGCAGACATGCACATTTAAAAAAACAAAACAAAACAAAAAACTACAGCTCCAGCACTTTTATTTATTTGTCTATTTACTTATTGTTTTTGTTTGTTTGCTTGTTTGTTTTGTTTTGTTTTGAGACAGGTTTCTCTGTGGCTTTGGAGCCTGTCCTGGCAATCGCTCTTGTAAACCAGGCTGGTCTCGAACTCACAGAGATCCGCCTGCCACCCAAGTGCTGGGATTAAAGGTGTGCACCACCACCACCTGGCTTAAAAAATCTTTAAAATATTGTAAAACATCAAAGGAAAACAAGGAAATAAAAATAAAATTATTTTTGAGTGATTGTGTATGTGCGTGCACACACACACACACACACACACACACACACACACACACACACTTGTGTACATTGGAATCTGATTGGGTCTTTCTTTCCACCATGTGTGCCCCGGGTATTGAACTAGGTCCTCAAGACGTGGTTGTAGGCACCTTTGCTCTCTGAAAAAATATTTCATCTATCTATCTATCTATCTATCTATCTATCTATCTATCTATCTATCTACCTACCTACCTACCTACCTACCTATCTATCTACCTACCTTCCTATCTATCTATTTATTGAGACCTGGGTCTCACGTATCAGGCTAGTCTCAAACTAGGTGTTTCAGGGTGATCTTGAACTTCTGATCTTTCTACCTCAGGCTCATGGTGCTGGGATTACAGGTGCATTAGCGCCATGCCTGCTAGACCTGGGAATGGAACCCAGGGCCTCATCCTTGTTAGGCGAGAGCTCTCTACCCATTGAGCTGGGACCCCATCTTCGGGGTAGGAGTCGGGGGCGGAGGTAGGCTAGGTCTGGTCCTCAGTGGTTGTGCCTGTACTAAACCGTGGTACCAATGAGGAGGAGCCACTATGCATCCTCCTCAGATTGTCCCCACAGGGGTGGGGCTGACTGAAAGAAGTTTAGGACTCAGCCCTAGGGTTCCATAGGGGAGGAGGTCTCGCCTCACCGTGCTGAGCTTGCTGGCCGTGAGCAACACCCTCCTCTCAGCCAGCAGCGCTGCAAAGAGTCCCACAATATTCTCATCCGTCACAGCGACCACCAGCTCCGTGAGGTTCCTCTGGGGGACAGAGAGGCACAGCGGCTGGGCGGCTGGGCGTGGGGCGAATAGCTAAGATTCACCGCCCCCACCTTTTGTCCTTCACACCACGTCCTCCTTACTCACATTCTCAGGGATAGACGGCAGGCCGGCAGAATCCGGGGCCACAAAACAAGAAAGCTAGTTGGGACATGGGGAGAAGATTCATTCAAACAGTCTGCACTGGTGATGGTGGCCTCACCTCCGGGGGTGGGGGTGGAAGCTCGACTCACCAGCTTGCTATTCCCTAGGGTAGGAGGCAGAATCCCACACTTGCTCCACACGGCCAAGCTGCTGCCCTGGGAGAAGAAATAACTGTGGAGTGTCCCCGGCTTGCAGGCTCCAAGGCCAACAAGCCAGAGTCAAAGACCTGAGCTACTCACCATCTCTGGTTCCCCTGAAAATTCTGGTCCAGGGAGAGGGTGTTGCTGCAAATTTTGCAGGAGTTCTTCAACCTCTGAGACCTGAGGGATGCAGGAGGGGTTTGCCCTGGAGGGTCGGTTTGGGATTCTGAGGGTCTCTACTCAGGCTGTGGGATCCTCAGAACAGCCTCAGCTAGGGTGAGGTGACTGATGGAAGGGCTGGGGTGGGGACTGAGGGGTAAGCTGCTCTCACTTGGTTCTGGGCTAGGAGGTCCCCCACAGTATTGAGGATCTTGTAGAACACTTCAAACCAGGGAAGGTGGCTGGAGAGAGAAGGTGGGGAGGGGTCAGGGTTTAGAAAGTGCCCCCCAAAGACTCGGTAATTTTACAAATGTATTGTTTGAGAATTTGATGTATGCATACTATGTATCTTGATTAAATCCATCCTCATACCCACCCCTTCATCCCCACCCCCATTTTCCTCTTTCAATTTCAAGCAATGTTGTTTTTAAAACCTATTGAGCCCACCAGCTCTCAGGAGTTAGAGGCAGGCAGATCTCTGGGAGATCGAGGCCAGCCTGCTCTACATAATGAGTTCCAGGTCAGCCAGGGCTACATAGTAAGACCCTGTCTTCAAACCCAAGACACCCCCCCCCCGCACTGAATCCACTTAGTGTTATCTGTAAGTACTTGGGTGTAGGGCCATGGAGCCTACCAAGGAGCAAGCCTCCTAAGAGAATAAATGCTCCCTACCAAATGGCAACTTCATGAGCTGCCCCCAACCATGCTGTGATTTGGGCTGGCATGATGGCATGCCGGTCTTGTGTCTCTGTACATTCATAAGCATGGGTTCTGTCATGTCCTTGAGAGAGTTTCCCTCTGGTCCTTTTAGCTTTTGCCTCTTATGGTCTCTCCAGTCCCACGTCTGAAATGGTCCCTCGGCCTTGTGTGGAGGGCAGTGATACACATGTCCTGTTTGGGCTGGACACTCTGCAGTCCCTACACTTTTATCAGTCACGGGTTTCTGTGTTCACCATGAGGCCTAGTGTTGGTTCCCATCTGTCCCTACTTGGTTTCAGGTCCCCAGTGTCACCCACCTGAGGATACAGAGGCAACTCCATGCACCAGCTCGGAGGCGGCAGAAGCCGAATCTACGGTTGCCCACCAGGTCAGTGAGGGCGAAGGTGAAATGCTGGACAGCGGGGCTGGGTGGCTCCCTGGAGGGGGAAAGGCACTGGTGGAGACTGAGCATTTCTTGCCTGACTTCCTTGCCGGGCCCCTCTTCTAAGACACCACAGATGGCCGGTAAATACATGGTTTCTTTGTTCACGTGGTGTCTGAGCTCAGTATTTTGTGGGGCTCCTTGAGTCAGAGACTCTGAATCCTGGAGGCCAATCTTGTAGCTCCATCACTAAGCTGTGTGCCCTGTAAGACTGAGGACCTGAGTTCTAGCTCCTACACCCACCATTGAAAAGAAAGAAAATCTGGAGGTCAGGGAGGTGGCTTATCAAGAGAAGGTGCTTGCTAGGCAAACCTGACGGTGAGAGTTTGATCTCTAGAGACCCACATGGTAGAAGGAGATAACCAACTCCACAGAGTTATCCTCTGACTTTGGACTCCTGTGGCACAGGCAACCTTCCCCCCATCATACGCCAGCAGTAATAATAAATAGAACAGAATAAAATTAAATCTGGTATACTGGTGAACTCTTATAATCCAGAGCCAGGGAGGTGAAATCATGGAAGCCCTGAGGCCCTGATGGCTAGCCCAGAAAGCTTCCTTGAAGACTTCCAAGCCAGTGAGAGACCCTGTCTCAAAAAATCAAGGTGAATGTGTGCATAGGGACTGGAGAGACGGCACAGTGGTTAGAATACTGGCCACTATCACAGTTTGGTACCCAGACTCATATGACAGCTCACGATGACTAATTCCAGTTCTAGGGGGATCTGATGTCCTCTTTTGACCTCTCTAGGCACCAGGCTGGCATGTGGTGCACAGACACTCATGCAGGCCAAAACATCTGCACACAGCAAAGAAATCTAAAACATAAAATCAAACCAAACCAGTGTGGGGCTGGTGAGATGACTTACATAAAGAAAGAGAGCTGTGGCCATGTGGTGGTGGCATAAGCCTTTAATTCCAGAGTCTGAGGCAGGCAGCTTGGTCTCATAGTGAGTTCCAAAACAGCCAGGGCTATGTAGAGAGACCCTGTCTCAAAAATCCCCAAAATAAAAATACATCACTAAAATTTTAAAAGAAAGAAAGGAAAAGGTGGCTGGCTTCTGGAGAATGACGAGAGATGTGGCCTGCACATGAGGTGCTCACCTGTGAACACACACTCATACTCACACTGAGTACTGAGTCCCCTCAGAGGGACCCCCTGCTTTCCTGAGTCCTTCAGTTCTTGGGTCTCTGGGTCCCTGTGCCTATAATTCTTTAGTTGTCAGGGTCCTTCTTGGTTTCCCTAAGAGCCTTGGAGTCCCCACCTCTCTGTCCCTTCCATACCTTTGTATGTCGAAAGGAAAACAAAACTTGGGCACCATCTGCATGGCCTCCTGGAGGGGAAGAGGCATTAGTGGTTTCTGTAGGCCACACTCCTGATTCAGGGTTAAACCCCCCTGGGGCCAGCTCTGGGGTGACAAGGGTGCTTTCTGAATACCTGTTCCCGGAAGTCTGGAGGGAATTGCCGCAAGATCGGGGGATCTGTGGGGAGAGCAGGCCTCTGAGCTCCCACCCTCCTGACCTCAGGTCCTCCCTTCTATCCCTCCCATCCTTCCAGCCCCAGCCCTCCCAGCTTACCCTCCTCCAGGGAGTGGGGGCGGCCTGCTTCGAAGAACCAGTCAAACACAGCAGGGGGTTGTCTTCTGTGGGCATGAGGGGTCTTTAGCAGAGGGAGGTGTTCAGATTCTTGCATCTGTGCTACTGTGTGTGTGTTCTCTGTTTTGCACGTATGTGTGTGTGTGTGTGTGTGTGTGTGTGTGTGTGTGTGTGTAACTAGGCGTGTGGGTGTGGGCGCCCTGAGGGGTGGAGCTGGGTGAGAATGCTGCTGAAGGATGGGGGGTAGGCAGAGAAGAGAAAGGAAAGGAAACCAGCATGGTGGCCATACCTGTAACCTCGGGCAGATTTCTGTGGGTTCAAGGCCTGCCTGGTCTACATATGAGTTCCAGGTCAATTAGGGCTATATACTGAGACCCTGTCTCCAAAGAGAGAGATAGAGACAGAGAGAGAGAGAGAGAGAGAGAGAGAGAGAGAGAGAGAGAGAGAGAGAGAGAGAGAGAAAGGGGAGGTATTCCCATGCCTTAGATGTGTGTCTGGGTCTAAAAACTGTGTGTGTGTGTTATTTGTGATTCTCTCTGGTGTCTGTCCCTTAAACCTGTGGGGTAGAACTGTAGTGTCTCAGGTGTGTACCTGGTGTCCTGTTTCTTTTCTTCCTGTGTCTTTGAGCACCTTTAAGGTTTGTCTTTGTGTTTCTGAGAAAGATTTTTGTGGGGTCCACATTCCACAAAAGAGAAAGAAGAGCAAGGTGCCGTAGCACTGAACTGCAAGCCCCATAGCATCCCCTTCCCTGCTGCCTGCCACATCTACAAGATGCTGGGGCCTCTGCTTTCAGAGGCCAATACCGTTTCTCATCCGGTTACACCCTGACATGGGCACCTCCAGCATCTCATCGTCATGTGGACACAAGGCACCCATGGTCCTCCTACTAAGGTTGACACCCAGTCTCCCACCATCCCCTCTCATACCCATCCCCTCCTGGAAATCACCTTCCTAAAACACACCGCCCTTACTGGGGTGTCACCCTCCTAAAATCCCCGTTTTCGTTACACAGATCCAGATCCAGGAAAATCGAAGAGGAACCACGCATGACCTGAGCAGGTCCCTGAGGGTCCACCCCTGGGGTTGGGTGCCTGTGCCTCCTGGGCCCTCCCTTGCCCAAGCCCCAGCTACCATGTATTTTTGTTTTTTTTTTTTTTTTTTCCCCATCTCAGGTCTGGCAATCTTGCAGCACAGGATGGAGGGAAGAGAGCTCTTACTTCTCTGTGGATCCCATGGTCTCCGCAGGGCTGGCCCAGCTGGGCCCTTTCCCCCCTGAGGCTCCCGGGACTGGGGGAGCCTGTCCTTGCTTGGGGCAGGGCCCCTGATCTGCTCAGCTTCCTGTGTGGCTGAGAGAGGAAGTATAACAGGGTGACGTCCCAGATGAGGCAGGCAGCCCCCGCCCCCACTGCTGTAAGCAACTCAGGCGTCCTGGCTTCCTAGCCTAGGTGGGGACCAGGCTGGGAGGTCCTGCTTCACCCTTATGGTCTCCATGATCACACCCAGGTCTTTTCTTTCTGAGTCTTCTGAGTATTGAATGTCTGTGAAGACCACAAGACCACTCAGGTAATTTCCCGTTGTTGTTTCTCTGTTTCATTTACAGGGGCCAGCTACACTTAAAGGCAAAATAGGGTGACAAAGGGTGACTGTTGGGGTCATGCAAGAGTCCTGATGGAGATGCAGAGAGGCTCAGAACCCAGGTAATGTGGTATGTGGGTATGTGCTCATACACACACCTCATATACACACACCCCTCTCATATACAACACACACACACACACCTCACACACACAACACACACACACCCCTCATATACATCCCTCACACCCCCCACACACCTCATATACACACCCACATCTCATTTACATCCCCCATACACACCCCTCACACACACACACCCCTCACACACACACACACCCCTCACACACACAACACACACACACACCCTTATACATACACCTCACCGAGAGAGGTTACAGAACCGACTGAAGACAGGCCTGGTTATTACTGAACTTAGGGGTCCCTGTCTATACTCCAAGAAGTTAAGTTTAGGATACTGGAGGCATAGTTCAGTAGTTATGAACAAGGACTGCTCTTGCACAAGCTCAGTTTCCTGCACCCACATGAGTGGTTCATAACTCCAGTTCCAGGGGATCTGATGCCTCTGGCTTCCACATACCCAGACACATAAATAAAATCAACATCATATTTTAAAAATATAAAAAGTGATTAAAGAAAAGCCAAGTGTGGTTCCCAGTCTTGAGAACCAGCCCAATTAGACACATATTTCATCCCAGCACTCAGGAGGCAGAGGCAGGCAGGGCTCTGTGAGTTTGGGGCCAGCCTGGGTTACATAGAGAGCTCCAGGACAGCCAGGGCTGCATAGTGAGACCCTGACTCAAGAACACACACACACACACACACACACACACACACACACACACTGCAGAAAAAGGAGATGTATTCAGTGTGGCCACCTTGGGAAGAGAGACAAAGAAAGCCAGGGACCCTCAGGTTCATCTTCCCAATGTGGGACATACTGAATAAATCTTATTTAACTTTTTTTTTTTTTTCCGAGACAGGGTTTCTCTTTTTGGAGCCTGTCCTGGCACTTGCTCTGGAGACCAGGCTGGCCTCCAACTCATAGAGATCCGCCTGCCTCCCGAGTGCTGGGATTAAAGGCGTGTGCCACCAACGCCCGGCCTTATTTAACTTCTTAGGGTACAGACTTTAGTAACAAGGGCAGAGAGTAGGCACCATATTCCTGGTGTGTAAATGACTTATCCTATACCTCAGAGTTAGTCTGGTCTAGCCTGGTCTGTTTGGCTCCGCAATTCCTGTACCCCACCACCCCAAGATCTGGTCTTTATTAAGTTTCAAACCTAGGACAAATGGCTGAGGTGCCAAGTTAGCATATCAAAGTGGACCTGGCCTCCACACTCTCCCAGCATCCCTCAGTCCCTACCTGTCACAGAGTATGGCTGGCATACCCTGCATTCTGCCCTGAACTCTCTAGACCAGGGGCTGGGCTGCTCTTCCTGAGAGGCTCTTCTGTTTATAATCCACACATGTTGGTCACACATCTTTCTTTCTTTCTTTTGTTTTGTTTTTTGAGACAGGGTTTCTCTGTGAGCTTTGGAGGCTGTCCAGGCACTTGCTCTGGAGACCAGGCTGGCCTCAAACTCACAGAGATCCGCCTGCCTCTGCCTCCCAAGTGCTGGGATTAAAGGTGTGCGCCACTAATGCCCGGATGGTCACACACCTTTCTTTTGGACCTATGGCCTCCTGGCTACTTCACCTGGTTCCCCTCTCTCCTTTCTCTCCTTCCTCCCCTCCCCTCTCCTCTTCTCACATGGCCCAGCTCAGCCTAGTCACGTCCACTCTGGACTCTCCTGCACGTCCCTGCCTCTGGCTATGCTCTCCACAGATCTACAGTCAACTCTCTCCTCCAACACTAGGAGCAGTCATGTCCTTTCCTCTCCTTTTTACGTCTTTTATTCATTAAGTCTTCAGTGGCTCTCCTCCACCCTCTAGGCCACTCCCTTCCCTGGCTACCCTCAGAGAGGAAAAGAAATTGAACAGAATGCCACATCAAAGCAATGACTCATTTATTGATGGGGGGGGTCATCAGAGAGCAGGGTGGGGTAGGCAGCGGGGAGGAGCTCTCTCACCCCAGGCCACACAGGCCTCTTTCCTCGCCCTCCAGCTCTTCCCTGGTAAAGCCAAGCTGGTAGCAACTGAACTAAGGCACGAGGGCAGGGACACACAGGGACAAGAGCGGGGAGCTGTGAGGGGGCTTGGGGCATGGGTAATACGGAAATCAAGATCTAGAGAGATATCTGAGGATGTCAGAGGTGGGAGTGGTGCGAGTGCGGGGGCGGGGAAGGGCCATGGGAGGTGAAGTGTGTGTGTGTGTGTGTGTGTGTGTGTGTGTGTGTGTGTGTGTGTGTGTGTACACGTATACACGCCCACAGACATTCACGAACCCCTGGGCAACCCATATAACTATCCCTATATTCAGTTGGTGAGACATTCAAAATATCTCCATCTCATGGGTATTAGGAGAGCCCTTCTAGGCAGGGTTGGAGAGAAAGTGGGTTCAGGGGTTAAAGGTGAAGCAAGTAGAAGCAGCAGCGTTCTAGGCTTGGACGGTGCTAGTGGGGCCATAATGAAGATGCTCATGGTGTCTGAGGGGATGGGGCAGCTTGGGGTGGAGACGGGGTGTTCAGGGTCAGAGCTTTGCTGGTGTGCCGCAGGGGCAGAGTGATGGCAGGAGGCTTAGGCCACCTCCTCTTCGGCCTCCTCCTCGAACTCGCCCTCCTCGGCAGTGGCATCCTGGTACTGCTGGTACTCGGAGACCAGGTCGTTCATGTTGCTCTCTGCTTCCGTAAACTCCATCTCGTCCATGCCTTCGCCCGTGTACCAGTGCAGGAAGGCCTTGCGTCTGAACATGGCTGTGAACTGCTCAGAGATGCGCTTGAATAGCTCCTGGATGGCGGTGCTGTTGCCGATGAAGGTGGCTGCCATCTTCAGGCCCCGGGGTGGGATGTCACACACGGCTGTCTTGACGTTGTTGGGGATCCACTCCACGAAGTAGCTGCTGTTTTTGCTCTGCACACTTAGCATCTGCTCGTCTACCTCCTTCATGGACATACGTCCCCGGAAGACAGCAGCTACGGTCAGGTATCGGCCGTGTCTCGGGTCGCACGCAGCCATCATGTTCTTAGCGTCGAACATCTGCTGTGTCAGCTCAGGAACGGTGAGCGCCCGGTACTGCTGGCTGCCCCGGCTGGTCAAGGGTGCGAATCCCGGCATGAAGAAGTGGAGACGAGGGAATGGTACCATGTTCACCGCCAGCTTTCGAAGATCAGCATTGAGCTGGCCCGGGAAGCGCAGGCAGGTGGTCACCCCGCTCATGGTGGCTGACACCAGGTGGTTGAGGTCCCCGTAGGTGGGGGTGGTGAGCTTGAGCGTGCGGAAGCAGATGTCGTACAGGGCCTCGTTGTCGATGCAGTAGGTCTCGTCGGTGTTCTCCACCAGCTGGTGCACCGACAGTGTGGCGTTGTAGGGCTCCACCACCGTGTCAGACACCTTGGGCGATGGCACCACGCTGAATGTGTTCATGATCCTGTCTGGGAACTCCTCCCGGATCTTGCTGATGAGCAGGGTCCCCATGCCCGAGCCGGTGCCACCACCCAGAGAGTGTGTCAGCTGGAAGCCCTGCAGGCAGTCGCAGCTTTCCGCTTCTTTCCGCACCACGTCCAGGACCGCGTCCACTAACTCCGCGCCCTCGGTGTAGTGACCCTTGGCCCAGTTGTTGCCGGCTCCGGATTGACCTGGGGAAGGGACAGGCTTGGATTCGCAGGCTTGGGGAAGGGGGGGGGGAGTTCCCATCAACCAGTTGGCGCTTCATCCTAACTTCTGAGTCATTAGACCAGAAAATGACAAGAGTGCCCGGCCAGGCTTGGAGGGTAGAGCCCCCTGCCTTGCACGTATGAGGCCCTGGGTTCCATCCTCGCCAGGGCAGAAGCCAGGTGTGCTGGTCTCAACTGTCATTCCAGCACTCAGGAGGTGGAGGCAGGAGGATCAGGCACTCCTGGGCTACACTAGACCCTGTCTCAGTAATTAATAAATAACAATGAAAAGGTTGTAAGAATAATGTTAGCATTATTGTTATTTTAATGATTGGGAACTGTGGTGATTAGTTTTATTTTACTTATTTATTTATTAAATATTTATTTTATGTATATGGGTGCTTTGTTTTCTTCCATACCAGAAGAGGGCACCATCTCATTACAGATGGTTGTGAGCCACCATGTGGCTGCTGGGAATTGAATTCAGGACTTCTGGAAGAGCAGCCAGTCAGTGCTCTTAACCACTGAGCCATTTCTCCAGCTCCTGTTACTTATTTATTTTATATTGGTAGTGTTATTTTAGCTTCGTGTAGTGGTATGCACCTTTAATCTCAGCACTGGGGAGGAGGCAGAGCAAGCAGAGTTCTGAGTTTGAGGCCAGCCTGGTCTACATATCGAGATCCGGGACAGCCAGGGCTACACAGTGAAACTTTTTTTTTTGTTTTAAGATTTATTTATTATGTATACACTGCTCTGTCTGCATGTGTCCCTGCAGGCCAGAAGAGGACACCAGACTACATTACAGATGGTTGGTAGCCACCATGTGGTTGCTGGGAATCCTCAGGTCCTCTGGAAGAGTTGTCAGTGCTCTTAACCACTAAGCCATCTCTCCAGCCACCCCCATTGTTTTTTTCTTAGGTGGTTTTATTTTATTAACTTATTTTTGGTTTTTTGAGACAGGGTTTCTTTGTGTAGGCTTGGCTGTCCTGGAACTCACTCTGTAGGTCAGGCTGGCCTGGAACTCAGAGATTTGCTTGCCTCTGCCTCCTGAGTGCTGGGACTAAATTCGTGTGCCACCACTGCCCAGCTATTTTATTTTTCATACAGGTTCTCACCGTGGAGCCCTGGCTGCTCATAAACTCTAGCTGTCTGCCTGCTGAGTGCTGTGATGACTGGGGTAGGCTGCCATGCTGGGCTTGAATTATTTGTTTATTTAGACACAGGGTCTTATGTAGCCTAGGCTAGGCTCAAAACCCTGTGTGTAGCCAAGGATAACCCTGAACTCCTGAGCCTCCAGCTCCACTGAGTGCTGAGATTGTGACAGACATCAGAAAACCCAGTTTCCATGGTGCTGGCCACATGACCATGTGTGTGTCAGGTGAGTGCTCACCAGGACTATTCCCTCCTGCCTCTGCCTCCACCTGTTTCCCTCATTCTCTCTGCCCCAGCCAAACAAGCCTGCTGGTGCTCCTTCATCACACCAGGCTCCAGGGCTATTTTTCAGCCAAGACATAAAAACCATACACATTGCTGGGCATTGGTAGCATATGCCTTTGATCCCAGCACTCAGGAGGCAGTGGCAGGCGGATCTCTGTGAGTTCAAGGCCAGCCTGGTCTACAGAGCGAGAGCCAGGACTGGCTCCAAAGCTACACAGAGAAATCCTGTCTCAAAAAACAAAACAAAAAACAAAAACAAACAAACAAACAAAAGAAACATTCACATTTGTAGAGGGCCACATTGTATTTTGATACAGGGCTATACTGTCCAGTGTTTGAATTAGAATAAAGACAAAGTCTTTCTCAAATGTATATCACTATTTTATTTGTCCTAAAAACATTTAAGATCTTTCCCTTCAGCTGCTTGATATCCTGTATACTGTCACTGTCTGCAGTGTGTAATAATACAGCACAAGTATTATTATTAACAACACTCAGTTAATACAATAATAGGCATAAATAGTAATTGGCACTTTACTATCAATTATCATTATTAAAATGTGACTAATATTTATTTTTCAAATTTTATTGTTTTATTCATTTAATTTTTTTCTGAGACAGGGTCTCACTATGTAGCCCTGACTGTCCTGGAACTCCTCTGTAGACCAGGCTGGCCTCAAACTCAGATCTTCCAGCCTCTTCCTCCAGAGTACTGGGATTAAAGGTATGCAATACCATACCCAGCTTATTTTATTCTTTCTTTTTTTTTCTTTCGAGACAGGGCTTCTCTGTGTATCCTTGGCTGTCCTGGAAGACACTCTGTAGACCAGGCTGGCCTTGAACTCACAGAGATCTGTCTGCCCGTGCCTCCTGAGTGCTGGGATTAAAGGCGTGCACCATTACTGTCTGGCCTCATTCATATTTTTTATGTGTGAGAGTGTTTTGCCTGCGTGTTTGTCTGTACACCATGAGTGCAGTGCCCTTAGAGGCCAGTGTTGAAGATAGTTGAAGGACCATCAGGGTCCTGGGAGTCACAGATTCCCCTGCTAGATCAGAGTGCTGTTAACTGTTAAGCCATCTCTCCAGGACCGATTACTATGTTTAGTAATCATAATTATTATAGTTAATAGTAAGTGTTTCAATTTTGCCACATCTTCATACAGAAGCTAGAAGGCTCCTACAAAAAGCTAAATAAAACCGGTATACCCCATAAGCTTGAAAATCTCTGCCTCCTCCCAGTGCCCTGACCTTGCTCTGGTTTCTCATGTCTGTGCTCCCTGCAGCAGCCA